TTTCATAACTAACTTTTGTAACAGATTCAGATTCATTATTTGTTTTCATTAAGAATACTTGCTGGGAGATTACAGCTTCTATCAGTTTTTCCACTTTCTGTTTTCTTAAGTCTCCTGTAAACTGGTCATATTTATTGGAATGTTTAGTGTTGTAATGCCTTTTAACGTTGTATTCCTTAAAAACTCCAATACTTTCTGAACAAATTAAACAAACAAGTTTTTTCATAATAAATGAAAAAGTAATCATATTTCCATGATTCATTATAAATTTGATTTTCATCTTCAAGTTTTCTTTTCTTTCTTATTGACATCTACAAATTGAGGATAAAATAAAATGAATAAAATACTGCACTAATAAATATAGTAAAAGCTCGATGTAACGAACTAATATGGAATTGAAGATATTGGTTCATCACAATGAAAGTCCATTTTATTGCGATTACTCATTATTATGACTCGTCTGTTATATCAAACAGTATATTATAATACAGTAGAATCACGTTAGAACAAAATCTTGATTGCATTGATTTTCAACTTTAGACTAATTACCACCTGTATCAAAATTGTTTACATGTAAAAAATCAAAATATTGTTAGATTAAAGTAAAAAATAAAGAGTAAAAACAACTTCTACTGCTGTATTTTTCTTAATTTAAAATTTTACCCTATTACACAGCCTAAATTATATAAGACTAAGTAAAAGACTTTTATTTTTAGTAGAACTGTCATATTTAAGAAAAGTCTGTTGTTGTTTTTCTCTCGCTATCGAAATGTCTGAAGTTATCTGTTTATTCAGAGACATTTCTTTATCAACTTCAGCTTGATATTTTTCATCTTCAATCTAATGAAATATATCTATTTTTTGTATTAAATCTAAAGCTTATCGTCTTCTTTTATGATCCATTTCTTCACTTTACAAACAAATCCACGATGCGTCACTCATGGCGAAGTGAAACCAAAACTGAACAATGCTGGGCTGCAATTTTTAATCACATTTTTAATTAATCTAATTTAAGATATATGTTCTCCACCTCAAATTAGTAGTGACTTTCCTCCATACAGCATACTTTTCCTATTAGCAGTAGAGTTGTGCTGTTCATCTATCTAACTCCTTTCAGAGGAAAACTTTTGTATTGAAATAATGTTTGAACTGAAGTTCATAAATAGTTAATTGGGGCCTCCTGCCCCTAGTTTAAGGAAGGACAGGTAGACAGACAACAGTGGGAATTTATAGATTTGCAAATTTTTCAAATCGCAGCCCAAAAACACAAGTCAATCAGAAAACGAAACCAAAACTGAATGTAATGTGAAAATCTACATTGAAAAAATGATTAAAATGAACTTTATATAATTTTTGCATTTACTTTTGTCAAATAAAGTGAATAAAACTACGACTATGGTGAAATAAATAAAACAATGACTTGACTAAATGAAATGACAACTAAAAAGTCCGTAATGATGATGGTCTGCGAGGCCTAAAAAACAATCCAAAATAACAGGGAATGAGTTTTTTTTAATAATTTTCCTATACTTTTGGCCAGACTGATATCAGCCATCATCCATTATATCGAGCTTTTATTGTACAAAAGCACGTGCAAACCTCAAAGTCAGTCCAGCACTGAAAATAATGTAATTCGTTCGAGACTGCATACTATTAATACCAAAAGACTTACTAAGACACCTTATGAACTAAGGTGTCTTAGTAAGTCTTTTGGTATGAAAATAATGCAAAGTTGAAACATTTTCATATGTGAGTTTTGTATTTATTACTGTCCAGTTCTGTCTGAATTGTTCTTAAAATATTAATAATTCTCTAGTTCAAACATTTTTAATTTTAATTTTGGAAATTAATAGTAACATTTATTAGTAAACAGAAATTCTAACTTCAATATTTATAATTCAAAATTCCAAATTAAAAATTCTATTTTTGTAAAATTTCAAATATTTAACATACCTTTTTCTATAATTCGGATAAACCACAGTAGATTAATAGTATATGATTTACAAAAAACCAAAAAATTAAATGCAATGATACAAAGCGTTCATAAAACTTTACAGCTCAACATAAAGTATTGAGTAAAGTCAGGTTAAATTACAAATATAGTTCTTGCAATTAGATTGGGTTGGTTTATTTTTGCGTCTTTAAGGGGTGATAGAATTGTTTACGAATGGCATCATTTAGTCTTGAAAAGGGGTCAAGTGCATATGGACAGTCTACGAAAGTACAGTACATGTTCATTTGTAAACAATTCTATCACCCCTTAAAATCAATCCAAGGGCCTTTTCTATTCATGTTGAATATATATATGAAGCAGTAATAATCATCTGTAATTTGGTACAATTACAGATGACTAGATGTCATTATTTTAAATTTTTATTTTATAAAGCATTATATTGTTTTGTAATATTTTGTGTGACATGGGCAATAGGTTGCCCATCCCTGCATTAGAGCATTGGCAAGTGTCCAAATTGTAACAATCTCAGAATAAGCCACAAAAAAGTCAATTTCACAAAAATATGGTATCCACTCTTAGTGAACCAAGCCCTAGAAATAAATCTGCTGGTTTAGAAAGTTTATTTTTATTAATTCATAGTTAAAAGATCAATTTTTAAAAAATCACTTAAAGTTATATTTTATCAATTAAATATATTTCATAATTATATTTTATGATAAAAATCTTTAATTATCTCATACTACTTATAATCATATAAAAAAACCATGCTCAAATCATATTACTAGTCAAATAATCAAACTGGATTTATTATCGGACTAAATTTTAGCTTATTAAATATACAAATGCCATATATTTTGGACTAAAGATAAAAGATTAAGTTTTCACCTTGTATTAAATTAAATATATAATTTAAAATATTCTAGATGGAAATATTGATTCAATTTCTGCTCCAGAGCAAACCACTCTGGATATAAATATACAAAGTGGAGAGGAATTCAAACCCATACCACTTTGTATATTTAATTAACCAAAATGTAGTCCAATGATAAATTTGGACTAATTACTTGATACCATTTATACCTTTTAAAATTATTTTAATTAAATCCAAAGGAATGCATAAAATATACTTCATAAAAAGTTCTTGGTTTAATTATTTAAATCTTTATCTACTGTAGGGTACATTGAATTACTCTAAAAGTGTATCTTTGATTAAAATTACAAATAATAAAACAAGCAAGTCAAATAATTGGATATTTAACAAATTACTTGCTTAACAGAATATAATTTGATCACTATAAGGTCACTTGAATTATATGAATATAGTAAGATGTTAAAATTTTCATAAAAATACAGAACTGTTCATCATAATGTAACATGTAAGACTAGGCCCCCTGATTTTGTCATTATGTAACATAATGACAAAATCAGGGGAACTAGTCTTAACTACTTTTGATAATATCAAAGTTTCAGTATCCAATAGCAATGAGATGCATATGCTGCATATTCAAACATCAAACTGCACATAAGCACCTAAGAGACTAATGTCCAATATATGGTATGACATGGGATAGACCATGTAAGCCTCCTGTTATTCTTGAATACTAAAATTTTAACATTATTAATTTTGTTAAGATCCTTAGGTCCAAATTGAGGGAGGCCAATAGAAAGAGGCCAAAAAATTAGTCTTTCATGTAAAAAACAAGACACAACGTGATAATTAATGTATTTTTTGATAAATTATAAAAAATTTGTTTTATTTATATATTTTTATCACTTTTGGAGAGAGACAATTCCCATCTTTGTAATTGATCAAGTCTAAATCTCACTTTTCTCAGGCCTTAGTAATGATTATTACTGATGTTAATACTGGATTTAACATCTTCTCTTCAACACAAACACTTATTCCATTGCTAAATTTGTGTTCATATAGATTGTGTTTGTTTGTGTATCTCTTGGACAGTTGTTAATATAGTAAGGACTAATAGGAAATCCATATGAACTTGTAATTTTCCAAGATATATCTTATATTTGAAAGTAATCTTTATATTTTCAATAAATATCCTTCTTCTAAATTGATAAATATNGTCTAGAATCGATTAATTTTATGAAAGAAAACCTTTCAAACAGCCGTAGTCCGTAAACTATGATTCCTACAAAATTGATTTATAAAGAACGGAACGTATCTACCGTCTTATAGGGGGATCTACTGTATTATATATTTTATACCTGCGACTTCGCCCGCACAGATTTTGCAAGCAAACCCCATTTATATTCAGTATTTCAACAACCATAATAATTGTTATATAACACCTACCACTGAGAATAATGAGAATTGCTGAGAATCAAATGAACTATTTTCAATTTAATCAATTTTCTGGAATGTTTATAATCGTTCTATAATCTAATCAATATGCAATAACAAATTCAAATTTAAAACGATTTGAACATTTGGTTAAAAAATTGAAATATATAGAAATATTTATAACAATGTCTGAAATGTTATCAATTTAATAAACCTAAGTACTCAATGAAAACTAAACATAGTTGAAAACAAAAAATCGCATCTAAAATAGTACAGTAGAAGCCGTTCTTCAGGTTAAGCCTTAATCCTCTCCCTCTCCCCCCGCAGGAGGAATTTCCAAAAATCCCTTCTTAGTGTGTGTTTTCGTGACATACCCTAACTGTGTACAAAATTTCATGTCTTTAGGTTCAGCGGTTTGCTCTGGGCAGTGATGAATCAATCACTCAGTCAGTCAGGACAAGTAATTTTATATATTTATTAATAGATTTTTTAAAAATCCATATGAAATATAAATGAAAAAAAGAAGTTAAAACATAATATTAAAAAAATACAGCNGAGTAACTGGTGGTGTAACTGGTTAGTGCACTGTAAGATAAGCTGAGGTTGTGGGTTTGGTTCCTGCTTTGAGCTGATTCTTTTCTTCTAGACTATTCTAAATTGCATTAAATTATTACAATTATTAATTTCAACAAGAAATGGCACATAACATCTACCTCTAGTATCAAATTACTTAATTTATAATTATTAATGGTAGCATAAAATTGCCTCATTAATTAAGGCTGTCATTTAGTTTATGAAATTTATTATTATTTTTACATCCCAGTGTAACCATATGACCACTGACTGCTAATCAGATGTCATTTTTCATATTTCAAATTATAACATTCCATTTCTTGTTCCATTTTCAAATCCATTCTTTTAATCTGAAGGTGGTTGTTTAAGACTATTGAAAATATTTGTTTTCCTTTCACTTTTTGATCTATGAGCTGGATTTTTGGTTTTGTGAGTGACATTTATACTTTTGATAAGTTTCATAAGGCAAATTAATATAAACATTTTACAACTTTTAACTAAATACTTGTTGTACTTTGGAATAATTAAATCTTGAAAAAATTGATGATTTATCCTTGAAAGAATTTTCACTGCTGTAATTTCACCATCAATTCCATTCATTGGAAAGAAAAGTCTTGAATAATCTGCATTGACTTTTAAATTGAAACTTTTTATAGTTTCAGTTTTCAAACCCTATAATGTAAATTGTAAAATTTATTTACTTTTTCATAATTGAATCTTTCTTAAATATGAAACAGATAGAATATAAAAAATCAATTAATAATTTATATTCAATGAAGATTACAGACAATTTTTAACTGCTGTTAAATCTTAAATAACACTAATTCTTATTACATACCATACAATAAGCAAATTTTCTAAATTAAATTCTCTATATTCATGTCCTAAATGTCAATACATAATTAATCATTAAATTAATTGTCAGGTAGAAAATTAATTTCTATTAGTATATTTTTGGTTTATAAGTAAAAACTTTTTTTTTTTTTTAGTAAAAATACTAAGAGGGCTTTTGTTTTTTACATCCATTGTGCATTTGGCTAGTCCGACAATGGGAACAACCTGGCGGTGATGGAAAAGTCCTGACATATCATAGACTCACTACCCACAAAAAAATTTCTGGGGTTGCACTAGAGTCACAAATATGTTCAAACTTCACAGATTTTACAGATGATTGTAAATTCATTTAGTCAAATATCCATATTTTACTTACTTTACAATCAAAATGCCTTAATATAGTCATTATTTCTTTATCAGGTAAATCCGAAATATTTTTTGTTGACTGTAACACTTCATTAATTTCTTTATGTTCTTTATCTGATAATGAAATGCAATCCTCTTCTAATTGCGATTTCTTTCTACATATATAAAATAAAATTGATCAAAAAAGCAAACTAAATAAGTAAGTAAAAAACAAAACAAGTTACATTTTCTCCAGATTATTTGATTTTAATAATGAAATATACTCTTGAAACTTATTCCATGAGCCTGTTTGCTTGCAAGAATAACATATAAAATTACCTAAATATAGAATTTTATTTTAATAAATGTAATTTTTATATAAAATTTATTAAAAATTTTAAATTTAAACATACCAGTTTTTATATTTAGAAACATTATAGAATTTTTTTTCTTTTCCTCCTTACACTGAGGACAATGAAAGTGAAGACACATAGGACCTTCATCAAATGGTAATTTGTTATCATTTAGGAAACCTTTCATTTCTTCAACATTTGCTTGAGGTATTACAATAGAATTTGTCAAATATCGTAATTGAGTAAATGTTGCTGAAATTTAAAATTTATTTTAAATTTAATTTCTTGTAAATTTTATAGATATAAACATAAACTATACCCTAATATTTAATAGCTAAATATATTTAATTAATAATAAAATTAATTCTAGCCCAAAAATAATCTGACTTCTTATATCTTTGTAAATTCTGTAACAAAGTTAATTGTGATCTTCCATGTGAAATAAAAAAATAATTACAATTTATTAAGAAAGTTGTTTATAACTAATTGAAATTTTCTATAAGAAGTTTCTCATCGCTTCATAGAATTTTATTATTAATCATTCTTGAATATATGTTACAGCAGGCATAACAAGACTTTTCAACCACTCTGTAAAAACAAAGCAAATGCCTTTTTATATATTGTTCTTTAATCTACTCATATTCCACATGAAAAAAGTATAATATCAGAAATATTTTCATTAAAAAGTTCAACCAAAATTATCTGTAAAGAACAATAAAAAATATATCTATAAATATATCAACTAATAAACATTATTTCCTCTAAGTAACATGAAATATGTCATTCAATATGATATGTGATCTTTTCATTTCTTAAGTTGATGGTAAATTTGTAAGGAATTTTTTTTTATATGCATGAACATGAGGAAGCTGGATTTGATTCTGTATAGGATCATCTGAAATTTTCATGGATAATTTGACATGGAAATGTCAGACTTTATCCATTACCCTCCTCATTCTGAATATATGATAAACATTAAAAACAACCTGTAAAGAGAACAGAATTATAAAAACTCTTTATTTGAATTGTTAAATAATCCACCAGATAATATATCAGGCTATTTTTAAGGCCAGTAAATAATTAAATACAAATCAGCTTGGCTAGATGTAAGTGGTTATGTTTCCATCTCACAACAAATTTAATAATTAGAAATAAATTTATTTTAATTTTAATCAAGAATATTTTGGAAAAGAATTATCCAGGAAAAAATTTGAACTTACAATTCCTGCTTATCATGTAGATGCATTGCCAGTTACACTATCTGGATCTATGTCAGATCTTCACTTCCAGAACTATTATTAATTATTTAAAAAATGCAAAAAATGTACAATATTGAAGACATATACAAAAACATTTTTTGCAGTCTTCTTAAATGTCTTTTCACAATCACTGGAGCACAATCAACATTGGTAGAGTTGACTTTCTTTTATAAGCTCTTCCTAGCCTATATTTATGTAAATTGGTTAAAAGTTCCATGATGTCAGATATCTTCAAACCTTTCATTGTAAAGAAAAAAATTCTAACAATCCAGGACAAAATATATATTTAAAAAATGTAAAAATGTACAATATTAAAGACATATACAAAAAAATTTTTGCAGTCTTCTTAAAAATTTTTTGTGTATGTCTTCAATATTGTATATTTTTTACATTTTTTAAATATATATTTTATCGTGGATTTTAAAAATTTTTTCTTTACATTATTATTAATTAATTTAGATGATTCATTCACAATGCCTGCTGAGGAGTTTAGTTCCCATGACTCTCTATGGCTCTAAGCCAATTTAAGCTTTAACCCTGGCATGATGTGTATATACATATATAGCACAAATTTAATTTAGAATATTCTTTCCTTCCTGAATATTTCAATTTATAATTAACATTAATTTATTTCTAATTATTAAATTTACCATGAGATGGTGGCATAACTGCCTACTTCTAGCCAAATTGATTTGTATTAAATTATTCACTACCTTTAAGAACAGGATAATCAAGAGGATCATTTGGCAATACAAATAAATTGGATTGTGTTTGTTATGTATGTCCTTATTTGAAATTAAATTTACAATTAGTAAGTATATCTTATATATTATAAATCTGACACAAATAAATGGTAAAGAAATCTGAAGTTTGCAATGGAGACTCATCAAGAAAAAAGGTGTACATCTTATTTACAGCTCAGTTAGAGAAGCCCCATCACAATGCTAACTTTACTTTCCTAGAGATCCTTTAGGTTCCATTTAAGTTCTTAAGTTTCTCTCTGGATCATTTGTCTTCTAATTCCAAAAAACACAAACAGGTTCTTTTTTTGGCTTCATACAAATTACTTGTGTAAAAACATAAAACAACAGTGTATTTTACAAATTATGGTAATTCTCACACAATCACTGCTTATAAATACTTTACACCCCACTAGAACAGAATAAACATTCCTGGAGAGGATCTCAACACTAATTCTCAGAATACAAAATCTGATTCTTATGAATCCTCTCTACATTCAAATTTTTTTCAAATCCTCATTGTAATACTATTTTCTAAGAAAAACTTCACAGTTTGCACAGTGCATTCTAAAAAGTCACATTTTACAAATTAAAATTGTTGGTCTAACAGTCCCCATTGGAAAGGAGGCCAGATGAATCTCAGATCCACACAGACTAGTCATCACTGAGATTTGATTCTTGTTCATCCATTCAGTAGTTAACTATTAGATCACATGGGCCTCATAAACAAAATACATTTATATATCTTACTATTGATATATATATATAAAAATGGACATGTGTGTCCCTATATTTCAGTTTTCAGCCAAAACTACACATCGCACATGAATGGTGTTTGTATGTGTTGTAGTAGCCCCAAGTCTCCATTCATGCACTATGATGGTTGCGTCTCGATAGCTATAAGGGTGTGGGAGATATGGGCTTGAAAGTGGTTGAAAGTGGAATATTTTCTATTTCAATTTAAAAAATTTTCGAATTCGAATTCAAATTGGTTTGATTACAGAACGATTGTAAACGTTCCAGAAAATTGATCAAATTGAAAATAGTTTGTTTGACTGGACGTAAAAATTCTCTAATTAGTCTGGAAATGGGGGACCTAATTCTTGCATTCTGTGAAAACGGGTAAGATTGGCTATAATGTAATTATCTTAATCTTCACTATCGTTACTTTTTGCCCAGCAAAGCGGGTCCTTGCAGCTAGTCATAGAATAATAAAACTACTATAAAGAAAAATTCATTATAGAAGTAAATTTAATGTTAAAAAAAATTTATATATTAAATAAAAACAGCATTTTGTCATTAATATACAATCACTCATATTTAATTAAAAATACATACATTTAAATCCTAATAATTTTGTAAATGAACGAAATGAATGAAATACATGATTTCTTTCAGAATTCCAACAGTGGCTGCCTGAATTTAAAACAATAACTTTTTCATAGAATTTGAAACAAGAATACAATAATTTCATTTTCATCATGAAAAATATTTTATCCTGTAAATAAAAATGTATAAATTTTAAATAGAAAAATTTAAAAACATATAATAATAATAATAATATTTAATAATAATTAAATGACAAATTTAAATTATTTTCTTTGTTATAGTTATTCCATGAAATTTTTATCAAAAGTTAAGAAATGAACTTAACATAAAAATCACTCATATCTATTCAGAACTGTACCTATTCATGACTGTTATCATATAATGTTTACGAATATAAGTTTATATGTGAAGTTTAAGGAAACCATATAAAAAAAGTTAATGTTAAAATGTGAAAACATTAAGCATTTTCTTTAGTTTTTATGATAATATTTAATATGATTATGAGTATTGACAAAAATTTGTCTGCAATAAAGATGAAAGTTCACAAACCATGTATCCCAATAATTTGCAATTGTCTTTATGGACAGACAAGTGACTCATCCCTAAAATCATATAATCTAAGGAAGCTTGATCTCCAAATACTTTTATTTATTTTATTTTTAAATTTAAATAATTACTGGAAGAATAGTGAAAACCTTTTTGCTATTCCACTGAACAAACGTAAAAGCATAATAAAATAGACATATATGGTAGATCAGTTACAAATAACAATTTTAACAGTTCAACGTTCATTAGTTAACTTTTTTCCAAATGATTTTTATTTTAAATAGTATAGTGAAAATTTAGAATTTACACTATACTATTTATGTATTGTACTCATACCATTACTACATAAAAACTGTATTTTTTATGTTATTTTATAACTACATTAAAAACCCTGATTAATTACGGCAATCATTTGGTTTATATTAAAGAGTTAACTCCTTCATAAACAGGACTGTTCTGTAACACTAAACACACCACAAACCCCAGAATTATTTTTTACTTTTGGTGTTCAGAACTATATTACAGGTATATATCATTTTGTATTAATTTTTTATAATCATGAAGTAAATCAAATTATAACTGTGTAGTTAAATAGACTCAAGCTGCTGTAGTATCACCAGTTTTTGAATGATACTGCTAATTTGTTGTCCATTTTGCTCAACATTGCTTCTGCTAAGTTTCCCTGATATCGTAATCCTCCACATGTGTGACATCATGTCTAACATACTTTCAACAGTTTTTTTAAGAAGACATCAGGCTTCATGATCAGACCCAGAGTCCCATTATAGTGGTCCATAATAGCCAATTATCTATCCCCTTCATGGCTTGTTCACAAAAATAATTTTTTTCCATTAAATATTATAACTGATTCATCAAAATATCATAAACAATTTTAAATTTTATGAAATGTTTCAATCTTTCCTACAGAATTTATCATTCTAATTACATTTTAAGTAGAAGTTACTTTTAGGTACAGTACTTGTATAAACACATATATAAACACAAAAGATTTAACTTGATGCTACTTGCAGTCGGATCTGTAATGCTGTTACTCAAGAGTGAGCCCCACGCTCACGCTACATATTTTTGTATTATAAATGACTTGTCTTGAGAAATTTTACTTAGATCAGGAAGTTTTGTTATGAATAATACACATTTTAATATTTACCTTACTTTACTTCATAAAATATGTTAAAAGTAATTTTGATATAGAAACAGAAAATCAATAGAAACAGAAACATGATATTTGAAATTATTATTAAACTTAATTATAATTTATTTTCAAGTTATGAATCTATTTAGTCTGGATTTTTAAAGTGGCATTGTTTGCAGATTGTTATTATGTGGTATCTGCAGATCAGTGAAGCAGGCTACATGTTACTCTTGGATGCTGTTTTCCTATTATTCTTTTTTGAGCAATATGCACACTTTTCTCTTGATACTGATGTTACCTGTGGAGGATCTGGTTTCTTTCTAAACACTTCCAGGATTTTCATACAGAGATCCTTGCTCTATCCGAGAGGATGGATTCTACATTTCTTCCTCATACTCATCAAGCCATTTCAGAAACATTTTATCACGTTTTATGATAGTATGTATGTATATTAAAAGTAACTTCTACCAAAATTTGACGTTTAATTATAGTTTAGAAATTTATTTTAAAATTTCATTTCTTTTATAAAATTCGAATAACGAAGACTTCGATTTAAAAAATCTTCAGATAACAATAAAGTTGTTTTAAAAATATATAAATGATCTGTATACATTCATTACAATAATACTTCGGCACGTTATACTTCCCTCCATTTATGGCGAAAATACTTTAAAAATTCATAAACTAATCAAAGTATTAATAAATAATTCGTCAAATATTATCCTCAACAACCAAATATTCATATTTTATTACATTTACCTTCGAGTCTACAAAAAAAAAATATTAAAAGAATCAATCACACAAAGCACGTGTAACCTAATTTCTCATCATCCTATCTAACGCTATTGTTATTATCAATTTCGTTTCTTTCCTCGATTGCGATTGGTCACCGCCGTATCGTTCGACCAATCGCGTCTGGCGATAGTACTTTATAAGTACGATATCGTATTACTATCAATTGGAATTAAGTTTCGAAAATCGTCCGGCAGGTTTCGCAGATCAAGTTCGTCTTCTGAGCTTTCTGCTTGTATGTCTGTCGGTCTGTCCAGAAACATGGCGTCTAAGATGTCTAAACGTTTTTACCGATTGGAAGGAATAGATGATCTTGTAATGGACAGGGGGGAGAGCGCGTCCATTGAAAATAGATGGGTTTTCGAAATATCATGGGAAGTTGTTAATAAAGGTGAGGTTTTTTTTGTAAAGAAAATTAATTAAAATGAAGGGGCGTAACCTCATTTTGACCTCTTAAAATATTTTTTTACACGTGTATTTAATTATACAATATTTTACTTCCTGATTAGTTTTATAATATAACTTTTTTCTGCCTCATGCTGTACTTTACAAGTATTTAAGTACTACCAAAAAGCAAAGGTCAAAGATCAAGGTGAAACTGAACAGTTTTTTTTTCTCACACTTCTTCTTCCAAATCTAGATATATGTATTAAGTAAAAACATATTTGATAAGATAAGTGTTATTGTTAAAATTTGTACAGTTGTAAAAGTCATTCTGTATCATTTTAATGTAAAAAATTTAATAGTTGATGCTGACATATTGACTTAAGCTGAATTTATGCTTAATTAACAACTTTATAAAAATATCATCCTTTAATTCTTTCATTGATTTAATTGAATTAAATACTGTTTAATGGTAAATTAGTTTTATATGATTGCATAAAGTGCAATTAAAGTAACGGAATTTAGCGCTTTATTAACCTTTTTATATACATATATATAAACCTTCTGGATACTGATTTGATTAAGAAAATTACTACAAAAATTTGTTCTTATTAGTTGCTATCATCGTATTTGTGGATTGAAAATTAGGATAAGTGGTGTATTTCTTTATAAAATTGGTAGTAAAAAATGAATATAAATAAAACGTTATCAATTAGATTCAATATTATACATCCAGATTAACTGAGTGTTTTATATAAATATTTTTAAAAGTTTTTTTATTAATTTGATATGGAAAGTCTTTAAATTGATTTTAAACATTTCTATTTTTTGCATTTATAATAAAAATGTTCTGTTGTCTCATTCAATTAATAATAATTTATTCAAAATAATATTTATTTGTAAAAAAGAAAAATTAAAATTTTGTGTGCATGCACAAAAAATATTAATTTATTAATTAATGTTGTTAATAGAAATATGTATGTATTAGATCAAATGAAAAGATTACCAGTACATGAAGTATATCATAGTTCAGTGATTTTTAACTGGGATACTGCAGCATGCTAGGATTTAAACTATATAACATCAAATACTCCACAGTCAAGTGGGCTACTCGAAGCCAGCATAGTTGCATGGGCTAAATAGTTAAATGTAACAGTTTTAGCAGAGCAACACAACTTGCAATCACATGTGACATAATTTTGGGGGGCTGTATCTTGATAGCTTGTAGATGTATGGTTCCTTTTGACAGTTTTGCTCCTATGGGTATGCTCTACAGCTCTGATGTCCCAACCGTCTCATTCAGAGCTTGAATTGAGCCGAAAAAGGTTGAAAAACAATTCATGAATTGGCCATGTCTGTTACTATCCTGCAAAACATCACCAGAAACATTGTTGAACATTTATTTAGGAATGACATTTCAAACTAAATAAATTGGTGGTGCATGGCTAATCCTTGTGCCACCAACCACTGGTGTTGCCAAATTTATTCTTTGCAGTAAACTTTTCATTTGCTCACTTCATATGTTGCCAAATATTAACTTATTTTGCATAAGAGATTATATAATAATGTATTCTACATAGAATAATTACATACATCAAATGAGCAATTATTTATTGTGACATTGTCACAATGTTGGGCTGCAATTTTTAATCATATTTTAAATTTATTTAAGTTAAAATATATGCTCTCCACCTCAAATTAGTAGTGTCTTGCCCCTGTACATCATACTTTTCTGTTAACAATAATGTCGTGCCAGTCATCTCACTCCTTTCAGGGGAAATTTTTTAATTGAAATAACATGCCTTCCAGTTTTCATCAAAGGTTACTTACTGAGTATTTCTGTTAAACCTTTACACAAAAGTAAGCATATTAGCTTTTTCTTGAATACTAAGCTTGCTTTTGGTGCTACGACAGTAGACAACTTTCAGCACTACAGTTTCAGACAACTTCCTATAAAGTGAAAGATAAGAAATGTAGACGTCCTTTCCAGATGAAAGATTAGCTTATGTATAGTTGATTAGTTGATTGGGGCCTCCTGCCCCTAAGGTTTCCACATCTAGTCTCACATTTCTTATATCTAACTCAGTGTTTCTCAACCTCTAACGAATCGTTGCCTTCAGTAAAAATATTCAGTAAAACCGTTACGTAGTATCACCCCCTTCACTACAAAATACTGATGCCGAGGGCCAAGACTAACGCCAAATTCATACTGCATTGAATAGACTAGTGACTAGTATAATGTTATTTGTTTAATTATTGTACGATATAACGAATAAAATATCTAATTATTCTTAATACAGTATAATGTTTTACTATAGCGCCCAGAAAATTATTTTTTTGCCCCCCAAATATAAATTGTTACTAATCACCCCCTCAACATGGAAAAACACCCATATGGGGGCGATATCACCCCAGTTGAAAAACACTGATCTAACTCCATTCTTGAGATTAAGAAAAGACATATGGATGGATGACAGTGGGAATTTATAGGTCTACAATTTTTTTCTAATTGTAGCCAATGATTATTTTATTTACTGTTTGAATTCTATCAATGCAAAATATGTATACTTAGATTAGTATTTATATAGAATGCAGTAGTTATATAGAATGCAAAGAATTCTGTAGCTAATCCTAAATGTAAATTGCTGAATCATGTTAAGGTTTGAAAGTTATCTGGAGTCTCCATACATTGTTTCAAATAAGTTAAAATCCTTGAAATCATGAAGACTTAGAGAAGCATATAACAGAATGCCCATGTATCACACAATATCCTCAATACAGGGCTGATTTAATGGACCTTTATCTGATTATATAAAATACAGTACTGTACTGTAATTCATTTTCTAAGATTAAAGATTCATTTATTTTTGTAATATAATAATAATAATATTTCTTATATTCATTTAATTATATTGTCATTAGAATTAATTCATTTGAAAATAGTTATATTCTGATAATTTTGAAAAAATTTATTCTGCTGTGACTTTAAATGACATTATTACATAATGAATTCAGTACAGTATAAAAATAATTTTGTGTATATATTTTTGTAGTTGATTCAGCAATTTCAAAATAGTTCCTGAATAATCTTCTTTGGAGAAAGTAAATTTCAAGATTATTCACATCACATCTCCTCTGTTATATAACCGTTGCTTTCAAGTATATCTAGTTGTTAATTAAAATCATTGTGGAAATATAGTTGAATTTTCTGTGAAATATTTTCCTCTTTTTTATTAAACAGGTTTAAATTGAATACAGAGATAAAATTACTAAATTAAATAATTAGCCTTATTTATTTTATACATTAAATTATTATTATGTTAGATGAACTAGTACATTTAGTAAAGTATAAAAAATTGGCTTTTTATTAATAGTATTTATCAGTTAAACTATATTTGCTATTGAAGCAAATGCTTATATAAACAAATAAAAAATTAAAGATAAGCTACACTCTACCATAATTATTCTTTGTCTGATTTCTTATTTTTCTCAATTCCATGTTTAAATTTTTAATTCATTTCAGTATTAACTATTTAAAAACTCATGCTAAAGAAATGATAAGTGAGCTTGTATATATAAAATTCTTTATTAGTCAAACATTTCAAATTTTTTCTGTTATGATTGCATTAAAAAGTTTTAATGTTTTGAAGAGTGAAACAACAAATATGTTCAGCAAATAATTTTATTTTCAAATTCACATAATCATTTTATTTTAATTCAGCTTACAGAAAGGAGCTTTTATTCTGTTTCAGATTTTTTATAATTGACAATGAAGTATTTTATTAATATTTTGTTTTTAATTTAAAGCTTAATTACTGAGTATTTCTGCTAAACCTTTACACAAAAGTAAAGTTTTTCTTGAATACTAAGCTTGCTTTTGGTGCTACAACGGTAGACAACTTTCAGCACTACAGTTTCAGACAACTTCCTCTAAAGTGAAAGATAGGAAATGTACATCCTTTCCAGATGAAAGATTAGCTTACAGTTAGAATAGTAAGTTAGTTAATCCAATTCTTAGGGATTGATGGATATTGTGATTGTTCTGATAGTGATTAATAATTAATTATATCAACACACCTGAATTCTTTGCCAAGCATAAATTATTTTATTTCTCTAACATTTTCAACCTACTTAATATCGGCCATCTTCAGGCTTACGATTAAACCATTCCAAAATGGAACACATCATTTTTCGAATACTTTCATTTTAAATTTAAAAGATATACAATAATTGTGTATATTAAATTAATGAAAAAAATAATAAATAAAATTACAGTGGGTGATCGGTTAACGAACACTTTCTCGAAAGATTTCTATGATCGGACAACGAACACTTCACTGAACAAACACAAGAAGAATCGACGTAAAATAACGAATACCGATTGGTCTTCCTTTGTCTTCAGGCAACAATTCGAAACTTTTCAGAGCACAAGAGACGTCGACACCGACGTTCAACCCAGTATATACTGATCGGATAGTATTCCCCCAAACTTTGAAACTCTCCCTTGTAATTCCAGCCTTTTATATTTCTGACAGAAACAATTCTTTTATGTTTTCTTCTGAAAATGCAGATTTATGCCGATATCTGCTATTAAAAGATCTTTTGAAGAAGTGGGAGGATGTCAGAACAACGGTCTTAAAATGGCATTCAAACCAGGTTAAGGTTAATAGGCCTAGGGATCGCTACAATTACAATGCTATTAATTACTTGTGAAAAATCATGAAGAAGACAGAAAAGCAATCGACATTGGACAGATTCTTTAACCCCCACAAACAGAAAAAACATGACTAATGAAAATACAAGACTGTGTATATTGTATATGTATTTTTATTATTACATATGAATAAACGTAGTAAGAAAGTATATATTTTTTATTTTTGGGGAGTTTCCAGAACGAATCAATCAAATTCCCATAGAAACCTATGGTAAATCGATAATCGGTTAACAAACAATTCGGATAGCGAACAAAGTCTTGGAATGGATTATGTTCGTTAACCGATCACCCAC